CTCTCTCTCTCAAATAAATAAATAAAATCTTTAAAAAAAAAAAAACTTTAAAAAAAAAAACACAGATTTATTTTAGAACCGCTAAGTTATATGAGGTCTACCTGTAAATATTTGTCTTTATAATTAATAATAAATTACAACCATTTATAAATGTCAGTTGATCAGCACACATAATTTTAAAGGTTTCAGATTTTTGTCTTGTCTATGTATTTATAGCAAAAGAAGATTTCACTGAAGCAGGAAACTACCTAAAAGGATGTGTTATCACTGGAATTTATTCTGAAGATGATGTTTTGATACTGTAAGTTTGTTGGTCTTCTAATTTTAGAGAGGAAGAAGTTTGCAAAATAATATATTGTTTGTCTTTACACAGTTGATGAAGGAAAATAGGTCAGCAATATAACTAAATTTTTAATTTTCTTCAAAGAAGATCTGGGAAGTACCACCTGGCTATTTAGAATTTTTAGATACTCTTTTGCTTTAGGCTAGAGTCCCCATAGGGACAACCTTGGATTCATACTATTTCATCTTCCTATAAAAAATTTCCTCTTTTGTTTCTATTACCTGCAGTTTTGGTTCTTTGGAATTATCAAAGTTTTTTGGGGAATTTTACATCTTGAGTGTCTGGGTTTTGATTTGCCACCAAGGTATATATAAAAATCAGAATTTTCTCATATTTCTACCAGAGTTTTAGGTGATATAACTATACCTGACAGTTCTACCTAATTTTAAGTTATTGCAAACATATACTAAATCAGTGCTTTTTTTTTTACCCACATTAGTTGCTTTATTTGTAGAATGTAGGACTCTTGTGAACTACCAGATAGTTGCTTCAGAATGAAGGACTGAACTGAAAATTTGGAGATTATTAATGCATACACAATACATACAGTAATACATGTACATCACATTCTGCATTAATGGCTTATTTTCAGGTGCAAGTGGAGTTGGTAAGTCCCAATAATTTGTCTTGCTTACCTCCTGACTGTAATATTCCTATTGTGATTTCTGGGCTTACATCTTTCATCCTGAACACTGGTGACATATGCTCTTCATGATTAAGCTCCATTTCTATCCATGAAATCATACTGAACTCCAGATCTTTAGAAAATATGAGACCGGTTCACCTGACACATGGACAGTCACCTACTATCTTCTACTCTGCTGTCATGGTGCATTTAGCTGTGGTCAGCTAATCAATTAAGAGAGTCTTTCAGGTAATTTGAAGACTGGACCCTCTACTAATGCTTTTAGTATTATAACATCTATACTTTGTTTTAGCATTAGTTGAGATTTTACATGATATAAATGTGACTACCTCACGGGTCATTTCACACCAAGCATTTTTTTCCTATTTAATTTAGTGATTTCCCTTTCTCGTTAGCATACGTAGTGGTAAGAAGGAGCAGATTTGGGCTCGTTTACAGTGGAGAGAGCATAGACTTTTTATCTGGGGCATCTTGCTTTGAATCCTGTCTCTGCCATTTATCACTCTCTGAGTCCTGGTTTCCTCATCTATCAAATGCAGGTGATAGTGGCCTCATTATACGGCCATTCTGAGGGTTAAATAAAAATGAAAGTACCTGAAAGAGTGCCTGGAAAATGATAGGTTTCTAGTAAATACTTTTCTCCTTGCTCAGCAGTATGGTGAGCAGTCCAAAAGGGTTGAGAGCCATGCAGTATGTTCCTAATCCTGTTTAGACATTTTCTTGATGGTAAGTTGTCTAGAGGAAAAAAACAAAAAATCTGCCTGTATTATTTTCTGTTGCTTTCTTTTGATCTAGGTTGTCAAGGCTCCTGAACTTCCTCAGCCTTACACAGAAGATAAGTTTGCTGGGAAATTGAGTTCATTTTTTTCTTTAGTGGTAGGGCTTCCCCATTTGCTACTTCCCACCCTGATCGCACGGACTAATTGTTTATGTTTTTGACGACTTGCTGTATTTTATTGGAAATCTTAGTACTGCGTTTCTCCATAGGTCACACAAATACGCTGCAACCCTTCCAGCCCTGCTGCTGGCCAGACACAAAGAAGGCGAAATAGAGAGCATTCCATTAGCTAACTCCCCTGCACAAGACATAGTTCAAATAATAACAGATGCGTTACTGGAAACATTTGTGAGTATATTTTGTAATAAGGATGTTATTTAAAATAAAATCGAGACCAGTTAAAAATAGTCTGTTTTAATATGCCATTTTCCAGCTTTTGTTGGCACAGGGCATGACATTTTGTGAGCTGAAGATTCACCAGGTTGCTCTGTGTCATTGTTCAGTCATTATGCGTACAGCTTCTCCAGTCCACTGCCGAAAGTTTACATGTCTTTGGATTATTTTTACTGCTGAGACTAGTGTAGCTGATGGCCAGTTGAAGGAAGTACTTAATCTAGGCTGAAACTTGGTGTATATATATATAAAGCACATGGATTTTGGAGAGTCAGGCTACTCAGCTTCAGATCCTTGCTTGATTCCTTACTGGCTCTTAACTTCTCTCTGCCGCGTGTAAAATGCAGGTGGTCATAGCACCTGCTGCGGAGACTTAATTGTGAAGACTAAGTGAGACATGTGTATGGTGTTCTGTGTCATATTTGGCCCGTGGTGAGCATTCAACAAATGTTAGCTAGTATTCTTACTTACACAGTTTTGGGACAAAATAGTGTCTTATGAAAAGCCTTTTCCACTGCTTCCTTTGAAAATAGTGAATTCAGGGGCATAACAGTTGTAACCTGCATTTCTCAATTTCAGTTGTTTTTGTATTTATGTTAAACATAGCTAGAATATTGTAAATTTATGCTTTTTTGCATTTCTAAAGTGACATAAGAAGCATTATTATCAGCTATAAATACTAAATGAATATCCTCCTCTCATTATGTTTCTTGCCATGATGGTCTAAATAACATTACATTTTAGGCTCAGAATAATGGCTGTAGCCTTTATTAAATCTTTTTGTTACCTTGGTTCTGTTCCCTCCCCTCTTCCCATTAAAGTTACAGGCTATAATTAAAATCAGATCATTAATATTTTCAGGATGTAGTTTTCCAAATTATTGAGGTAACATTTTTGTATTTAATGACATGTTATTAAATGAATATTTCCTTAACCATATACATAGTGTAATATTTTTGGAATTATTATAAGCCTTTACCTTCCTTTTCCCAGATAATACAGAGAACTATTAAGAGAAGAAAATTGGAATCAACCATATCCTCTTTGACCAAATTTAAATTGGGGGAAATATTTTCTCAAACAAACAAAAAAATTCCATGTGTATCTGTGTGATTGTCTTTTTATATTAAGGGATATTTCCATCAAGAAATGAAGATATACATACTTTTTTTTTTAATATCTGTATAATATTCTGTTGCACTAAAAAAGCCACAATTTATTTAATTTCCTGTTGATGAATTTTAAGTTGTCTTTAGTTTTACTCAGGGACCAGCCTTGTGCATAATCTTTGGGTGTTTCCATGATTCCATACTCATGGTAAATGCACAGATTTGAATTGCTAGTCCAAAGGGCATGCACATGTTTAAGGCTGCTGATACTTGTTCCTGTTTTGCATGAGAAGAGATTAGAACATTTTACTCTTTCATCTTTGCTTGACTGATGAATAAAAAATTGGCATCTATTTTTTAAGATTATATTCTTTAAGGCTGAGAAACTTGGGGCAAACTTAACTATCAGAATCTGTTTATAAGTTAAGCGTTGTGGCAGTGTTTCCAGTTTATAGTGTTTTGGTTTACAGCGTTTGACTAAAAACCGAACAGCTATAATAAAAATTGTTTTGCGTTTAGTTTATGACCTTTCCATAAATTCTAAAACCCTCAAATAGTTATTAAATTTTTTTTTTAAAGATTTTATTTATTTATTCATGAGAGACAGAGAGAGGGAGAGGGAGAAGCAGGCTCCCTGCTCTGCAGGGAGCCCGATGTGGTACTCGATCCCAGGACTCTGGGATCATGACCCGAGCTGAAGGCAGACACTTAACTGACTGAGCCACCCAGGAGCCCAAGGTGGTTAAATTTCTTAAAGCTGCCCTATGTTGGAGATTTAAGTCTGGAGTATGTAGCAGCCAGCCAGCCAGCCACAAGCTCATCTCCTGGTCTGCACTAAGGTGCTAGAAAGACTTTGGTTTCTTCATCTGGATAGGAAGGAGAAATGGGTGAACAGACAGTAAACATTTTTTATATGGCATTCAGTTTTTATTTTAATGAACCGGATGATAAATCAGGCTAGGTAAATAATGCCCAAATCTGAAATACACGATAATTAACTACATAAGCAATGATCTATTCAAGGCTGTCACGTTTAAACATAGTTTAATAGCACTTTGCTCAGATATGTTAATTTCCTTTAATTATGCTTTTATTATGAATAAGTTACAGCCTCTTGTATACTCAGATAGCCAAAGGACACCTTCCTATTACCATGTTTGATGACCTTTTCTGTAAGTAGCAACCAAAACTACTGACAATGCTTTTTCTTTTCAAAATTCTCTGTTCCTCTGGCTTTTGCAATTCAGTCCTCTCCAGATACCTCCTTCAACCCTCTGGCCACTCTAGAATTCCATCTTCAACCTTCAGTCTTTTTCTTCTTTTTGCTCTTCTTTCTTTCGGAAGTTTTGTCCATACCCACAATTTCTACCATCAGTATTACCAACTGATGATTCCTAAATCTGAGGTCCTGATCTTTTCCTCCTCAACTCACAGAACTCTTGGTCTTTCTTCCCTGAAATGCCTGTCACCGGTCTGTCTTTTCACAGATTCGTATTCTAGTTAGCTTTCTAAAACAGGCATAACCATGTCGCTCATTTGATACAAGATCTTCTCAGTATTTCTGAGAGCTAGAACACCTATCAAGGTATTTTCCCATCTGGTCTTACAGCCACATTTGCCTCTTGCATGCCTCAGTCTGGCAGACTTCACTCCCACTGTTCCCAGATGGCATGAATGCTCTCACAGCTCTCTGCCTATCCCCATGATGCTCCCTATATCGGGAATCCCGGCTCTAGCACATACCTTCTTCTGTCAAGATCTTATTTCTTGCCCAAGGCCAGATTAAATATCACTTCCTAAAATCATCCATGAGCTCCCATACTTTGTTTTTTTTAGCTTAATTTTGTTGTCCTACATTAAATTTTCTTGGCTCACAGCAGTTTGTCTACCTGTCTCCTCCTTGAGAGTAGGAGCGCTTTAAGGGCAGGGAGAGTATCTTCCTTCTTTCTGATTCAGTACCCAGCATTAACATTTTGAACTTTGTAGTGGTGGCTCCATCTCCCCTCGTTTCAGATCTGTTCAGAGTGAGGAGATCTGCCAGCCTGATGAGATCTATCAATTTTAGGAAGGGGATATAACCTGTGTAGAAGATTAAGGATGAAAATTAACATAAGAAGACAACATAGGGAAATTTGGAGAAGAGGGGATCTAAGATTTAAGTCATGAAAGTGGATTAAAAACCTGTGAGAAGAGGATTTCGAGTGTGAAAGAGAAAGAATTAGAAGAAAAATGAGAATTGGCAGAGGAAGGTGGCTTTGAGAACTAAATAAGGAAAAGTACATACTGGAGTTTGGTATTTGGGCTTAAACTGAAAAGAAATGAGACTGATATTTTTATTTGTTTAAACATGTTTTGATTATATTAATTATGCTAAAATCATAAATATTGAAACAAAATAAGATTTTTATTTTAAATAATCATAGATGTTGAAGGATTATATCTTTAGAGCTCAGCATTTTTTCCCCAAAAATTTTATGTTAGATACAATAAGAGTTTTGTTTGTCATATGTGTGTTGTCTAATCTGGTCCAGATTTTAGCATAAGAAATTATTAGAAGTGGTACATCCTTGTAAAACAGGGAACTTGTTTATCTTCAAATTAGCTTTATTTTGGAAATAACTAAGATAAAGTGAGCTTAAATAAAAAGCTCTTGATATTTATAGTTATTAGTCAGTATTACAAAATCTCCACTTAAAATATGTTTGAATTACATTTTAGAAACTAAAATTGCATGAGTGATTTGAACGTTATTTTCTATTTTATCTCATCATTCTCCATGTTTGTTTTTTTTTTTTTAACAGCCAGAAATCACTGTGGAAAATCTTCCCATTTATTTAAGACTTCAGAAACCATTATTTATTTTATTTAGTGACGGCAGCATAAATCCTCAGTATAAAAAAGCAATATTGATGCTGGTAAATGAGAAACACTTGGATTCACTTACCCCTTGCTGGTTAAATCTGTAAGTATATTTTTATTTTTTAATATGTAAAAGGGAAGAAACTATAATGATTACATTTTCATTAGGAAATGAAACTCTCTAACTGTGTCTTTGGAGTTAATATTATGGGACCAGTGTATAAGTTATGATAGTTTAGTAACTAAACTTCCTCATGGTCTAAGATGACCTTGTTTTAGATTGAATTCTGTTCTACAATAAATTTTTTATTTTGCTGAATGTTATTTTTTTTTCAGGGGTATATAGGTATAATTGACAAAATTGTAAGATATTTAAAGTGTACATTGTGGTGATTTGATACATGTATACATTGTGGAAGGATTCTTCCATGTAATTAACATATTCATTACCTCACATTATATATATATATATATAGGGAGGGAGTAAGAACATTTAAGTTCTACTCTCTTAGCAAATTTCAATTATATAGTGTTCACAACTACAGTCACCATGTTATACATTAGATCCTCAGACCTTATTTATTCATCTTACAGCTGAAAGTTTCTTTCCTTTTCCCAATCTCTTCCTGTTTCCCCCAACACTGAGTCCCGGGCAACCACTTTTCTACTCTGGTTCTGTGAGTTTGACTTTTTGATTTTTCACATAAGTGATACCATGTAGTATTTGTCTTTCGCTGTCTGGCTTATTTCACTTGGCGTAATGCCCTCAGAGTCCATCCATGTTGTAGCAAAGAGCAGGATTTTCTTCTTTCTCATGACTGAATAATATTCCATTGTATATGTACCACATCTTAGGTTGTTTCCGTATTTGGCTATTGCAAATAATGCTGCAATAAACACGGGAGTGCATATATCTCTTCACTGTCTTGTTTTCATCTCTTTTGGATAAATACCCAGAAGTAGGACTGCTGGATCAGATGGTAGTTCTCTTTCAGTTTTTTGAGGTTGTGGTTGTACCAATTTACATTCTCACCAACAGTGTACCAAGGGTTCCCTTTTCTTTATATTTGTTATCTTTTGTCTTTTTGATACTAATTTTAACAGGGTTGAGGTGTTATCTCATTGTGGTTTTGTTTTGCATTCTCTAATTTCCCTAGTGATGTGGAACATCTTTTCTTGTGTCTGTTGGCCATATGTGTCGTCTTTGTAAAAATGTCTATTCAATTCCTCTGCCAATTTTTAAATTGGATTGTTTGTGTTCTTTGCTGTTATGTGTGTTCTTTAGTTATTTTGGATATAAACCCCTTATCAGATAGATGATTTGCAAATATTTTCTCTCATTCCAAAAGTTGCCTTTTCATTTAGTTGATGGTTTCCTTTGCTATGCAGAAGCTTTTTAATTTGATGTAGTCCACTTATTTTTATTTATGTTACCTTTTCCTTTTGGTGTCATACAAATTTTAAGAAGTAGTAATTTTTTTAATTTTAAAAGTAATTGATGTCCATTGAAGCAAATACAGAAAAATAAACATTGTGATATTTTGGCATTTTTCTTCAGTTCCTTTTTCTGTACTTTTATATTTTTAAAATGCAGCCTAAAATGTTACAGATAATTTTCAGTGCATTCACCAACAATATTTTCTGTTAGGTTTTCTAGATGTATGGCTTGTGTTACATTTAATGTCTGTGAACACAGTTCACATAAATACTATCTATTGTTCAAATTCATCAAATGAAAAGACATTTTTAATTCATTTGAAAAATTACAAGAATGAGGCAATGTACATTTTTTTTTTCCCATGAAGAGTTCACCAACAATACAACATACTGCTTAAGACAAAATTTTCCCAGGGCTTTGTAGGTACCTCAGAGTAAAACAGTATTTTCCACAGTGTGGAATGTGCTGTTTTAGGAAACCTAGGTATCTTAAAAGTTATGGTTTCTGTGTATGACCAAAACTTTTAAAAAATGTTTTTAATTTGAAATTAACCCCTTCTCTTTGTTCCTGAGGAAAAACAACTTTATTTGGAGAAGAAGTATTTATTATAAATATTTTATATTTTGTAACCATTTAATTTTTAAGTTGACATGTGATCAGATACTTGGCTCAGCTTTGGAAGGAACCTGTTGATTATATCAAACCCAAATTGACAGATCTTTGAACTATAACTGGTTTTCATGAAAATAGTCATTGACTGCCTTTTTTTTTTTTGCCCTAAGAGAAACACAGTGCCCACATTAAAAGAAACTCATTAAGAATCTGATTACTAATAACATAGTTATAGACCTCTTGGTTTTTAAGATCTCTTTTTATAAAAACTTAATGACATGATACTATATTTAAAGTTTAATGTTCCACAACCTTTTATTTTCATAATTTTGTTATAGAGAGAAATATTAACGTGTTCAGTTGCTCCCTTTTGCAGAAAGAACACTCCTGTGGGAAGAGGAATCTTGGAGGCATATTTTGATGCTCTGCCTCCCCTTCCTCTTCTTGTTATGGTCAATCTGCATTCAGGTGGCCAAGTATTTGCATTTCCTTCAGACCAGGCTATCACTGAACAAAACCTTTTATTGTGGCTGAAGAAACTGGAAGCAGGACTTGAGAGTCACATCAGTAAGTTTCCTGTTTTAATACACGCAGTTATGTGTTTTCATAGATTTTTAAACTTGAATTATAGCTAATACATGCTAGAATGAGTTGAATTGTAATGTTTATATCTTAAATATTAATATGTTATAGCATTGTCCATGGAACAATCTTCTCTGTGGTAAGTATTTATTACCCCCGAGAAAATAAGTACCATTACATTTTATTAAATTTAATGACAGTAAAAACATTTATTGAATGCTGAATAGGTGTCTAGCACAATGCTAAGTGATTCACATGTGTTAACTCATTTAATTCTCCTAAGAGTCATAGGAAGTATTGTTACCTGTAGAAGAGTTAGGTAACTAGTTCAAAGTTAAATAACCAGTAAATAAGGAAGCTTGGATTCCAACCTGCATCTCTTTTACTCCAGAGCCAGAATTTTGAACCATAACAAAATAGATCTTGGTCAATTTATGATGCTGGCTTATGATATGTCATAGTCTCTACTTTTCTAAAACATATGTGAATTTATATCTGTGGTACAGATGTATATGTTAATTTATGTACAATTGTGGTAACAGGCCTGTTGCTATAATTTAAATAAGAAGTAATAAACTAGATCATTAGTATATTGAGGAAATAGTGTGAAATTTGATGTAATGAAAAATCTCCTGAGATACTAACCAAGGATTTTGTTATTGGATACCAGATGAACTATATTTTGACATTGTTCCATGACAGAGTCCTGAAATAGGGGGTGTGTGTATATAAATATATATGTGTATATATACACACACACAGTTCTTATGTACAAACTCCAATTCAGTGTTATATTGTCTCTCAGCCAGCTTGCATAGTGTGAATCTATCATTATATTTAATCAGATACCTAATTTAAGTGTCAATCATTGCAGCACACCTGTTCTTCCCAGGTGGTCTGCTTCATTTCTGTTAAGTTAGGCAGTTTTAACGATGCTTAACTTGCCCATGGATGATATTTTTATATTGAAATATAATTCACATACCATAAAATTCATCCTTTTAAAGTGTACAATTCAGTAGTGTTTAGTGTATTCACAAGGTCATGCAACCATTACCACTGTTGAATTCCAGAACATTTCATCACCCCCAAAAGAAACCCCCTACCCATTAGCAGTCACTCTCTCTTCTCCTTCCCTCCACTCCCTGGCAATATACTTTATGTCTTGGTAGATTTACCTATGCTAGACAATTTATATAAATGGAATCATATGTGGCCTTTGGATCTGGCTTTTTCACTTAGTATCTAAGTTTTCAAGGATCATTGATGTTAAACATGAATCAATAGTTCATTTCTTTTTATGGATGAATAATATTTCATTGTATGGTTATACCACATTTGTTTATCCACCAGTTGGATATTTGGGTTGCCTCCACATTTTGGCTATTATAAATAGTGCTGCTATGAACATTCCTGTACATGGTTTTTTTTTTTTTTTGTCTGTCCTTAGGCCAGTACCACACTGTCTTGAATGCTACAGCTTTATAGTTGGCTTTAAATTGGGAAATTTGATCCTCCAACTTTGTTCTTTATTTCCAAGATGATTCTGGCTATTCTGGATGCTGTTAGATGGCATTATTAGGTCTTAATTTTAATATTTTCCTAGGAAATGTGAAAAATAAATTAACTATATTGTTTAAGACGTAATCTGGAAGGAGGTCTTTCTGTGTTGTTACCACTCATCTGTGACTCACTCATTCTGGTCACATGGTATAGGGGTCCTTTAAGTTGTAGGTTTTGAGCTCTTGAGACACTCTGTGTTCACTTCTCTATCTGCATTGCTATTTTATAGGCTTGAATGAGGTGTAATCATTTTGTAGTTATGGTGTGACAATTGAAGGAGAGAGAAAGAGTTTCCCAGACAAACAAAAGTTAAAGGAGCTCATCACCAGTAAGCCAGCCTTACAAGAAATGTTAAAGGGAATTATTTAAGTGGAAAAGAAAAGGCCATAACCAGAAGAAGATTATGAAAGAAAAAAATCTCACTGTTAAAAGCAAACATAAAGATAGTGGATCAGTCACTTATAACTAGTATGAAGATTAAAAGACAAAAGTAGTAAAATCAGCCATCTCTAAATTAATTAATTGATACACAAAATAAAAAGATGTAAAATATGACACCAAAGACAGAAAACTGGGGTGTGGGGGAAATAGTAAAAATGTAGTGCTTTTAGAATGTTTTCAAACTTAAGTGACCATCAACTTAAAATGGACTGCTATATACATAGTCGTGATAACCACAAACCAAAAATCTGTAATAGATACTCAAAAAATAAAGAGAAAGGAATCCAAACATAACACTAAAGAAAGTCATCAAATCACAAGGGAAGAGGACAAGAGAAGGAACATAGAAGGACTACAGAAACAGCCAGAAAACCATTAATAAGGGGTGCCTGGGTGGCTCAGTTGTTAAGCGTCTGCCTTCGGCTCAGGCCCTGATCGAGCCCCACATCGGGCTCCCTGCTCAGCGGGAAGCCTGCTTCTCCCTCTCCCACTGTGTCTCTATCAACTAAATAAATAATATCTTTAAAAAGAAACCATTAATAAAATGGCAATAAATACACACTTATCAATAATTGCTTTATTTATAAAGATTTTATTTATTTTTTTTATTATTATTTATTTATTTGAGAGAGAGAGAATGAG